CCCCCCCCCCCCCCCCCCCCCCCCCCCCCCCCCCCCCCCCCCCCCCCCCCCCCCCCCCCCCCCCCCCCCCCCCCCCCCCCCCCCCCCCCCCCCCCCCCCCCCCCCCCCCCCCCCCCCCCCCCCCCCCCCCCCCCCCCCCCCCCCCCCCCCCCCCCCCCCCCCCCCCCCCCCCCCCCCCCCCCCCCCCCCCACCCCCCCCCCCCCCCCCCCCCCCCCCCCCCCCCCCCCCCCCCCCCCCCCCCCCCCCCCCCCCCCCCCCCCCCCCCCCCCCCCCCCCCCCCCCCCCCCCCCCCCCCCCCCCCCCCCCCCCCCCCCCCCCCCCCCCCCCCCCCCCCCCCCCCCCCCCCCCCCCCCCCCCCCCCCCCCCCCCCCCCCCCCCCCCCCCCCCCCCCCCCCCCCCCCCCCCCCCCCCCCCCCCCCCCCCCCCCCCCCCCCCCCCCCCCCCCCCCCCCCCCCCCCCCCCCCCCCCCCCCCCCCCCCCCCCCCCCCCCCCCCCCCCCCCCCCCCCCCCCCCCCCCCCCCCCCCCCCCCCCCCCCCCCCCCCCCCCCCCCCCCCCCCCCCCCCCCCCCCCCCCCCCCCCCCCCCCCCCCCCCCCCCCCCCCCCCCCCCCCCCCCCCCCCCCCCCCCCCCCCCCCCCCCCCCCCCCCCCCCCCCCCCCCCCCCCCCCCCCCCCCCCCCCCCCCCCCCCCCCCCCCCCCCCCCCCCCCCCCCCCCCCCCCCCACACCCCCCCCCCCCCCCCCCCCCCCCCCCCCCCCCCCCCCCCCCCCCCCCCCCCCCCCCCCCCCCCCCCCCCCCCCCCCCCCCCCCCCCCCCCCCCCCCCCCCCCCCCCCCCCCCCCCCCCCCCCCCCCCCCCCCCCCCCCCCCCCCCCCCCCCCCCCCCCCCCCCCCCCCCCCCCCCCCCCCCCCCCCCCCCCCCCCCCCCCCCCCCCCCCCCCCCCCCCCCCCCCCCCCCCCCCCCCCCCCCCCCCCCCCCCCCCCCCCCCCCCCCCCCCCCCCCCCCCCCCCCCCCCCCCCCCCCCCCCCCCCCCCCCCCCCCCCCCCCCCCCCCCCCCCCCCCCCCCCCCCCCCCCCCCCCCCCCCCCCCCCCCCCCCCCCCCCCCCCCCCCCCCCCCCCCCCCCCCCCCCACCCCCCCCCCCCCCCCCCCCCCCCCCCCCCCCCCCCCCCCCCCCCCCCCCCCCCCCCCCCCCCCCCCCCCCCCCCCCCCCCCCCCCCCCCCCCCCCCCCCCCCCCCCCCCCCCCCCCCCCCCCCCCCCCCCCCCCCCCCCCCCCCCCCCCCCCCCCCCCCCCCCCCCCCCCCCCCCCCCCCCCCCCCCCCCACCCCCCCCCCCCCCCCCCCCCCCCCCCCCCCCCCCCCCCCCCCCCCCCCCCCCCCCCCCCCCCCCCCCCCCCCCCCCCCCCCCCCCCCCCCCCCCCCCCCCCCCCCCCCCCCCCCCCCCCCCCCCCCCCCCCCCCCCCCCCCCCCCCCCCCCCCCCCCCCCCCCCCCCCCCCCCCCCCCCCCCCCCCCCCCCCCCCCCCCCCCCCCCCCCCCCCCCCCCCCCCCCCCCCCCCCCCCCCCCCCCCCCCCCCCCCCCCCCCCCCCCCCCCCCCCCCCCCCCCCCCCCCCCCCCCCCCCCCCCCCCCCCCCCCCCCCCCCCCCCCCCCCCCCCCCCCCCCCCCCCCCCCCCCCCCCCCCCCCCCCCCCCCCCCCCCCCCCCCCCCCCCCCCCCCCCCCCCCCCCCCCCCCCCCCCCCCCCCCCCCCCCCCCCCCCCCCCCCCCCCCCCCCCCCCCCCCCCCCCCCCCCCCCCCCCCCCCCCCCCCCCCCCCCCCCCCCCCCCCCCCCCCCCCCCCCCCCCCCCCCCCCCCCCCCCCCCCCCCCCTCCCCCCCCCCCCCCCCCCCCCCCCCCCCCCCCCCCCCCCCCCCCCCCCCCCCCCCCCCCCCCCCCCCCCCCCCCCCCCCCCCCCCCCCCCCCCCCCCCCCCCCCCCCCCCCCCCCCCCCCCCCCCCCCCCCCCCCCCCCCCCCCCCCCCCCCCCCCCCCCCCCCCCCCCCCCCCCCCCCCCCCCCCCCCCCCCCCCCCCCCCCCCCCCCCCCCCCCCCTCCCCCCCCCCCCCCCCCCCCCCCCCCCCCCCCCCCCCCCCCCCCCCCCCCCCCCCCCCCCCCCCCCCCCCCCCCCCCCCCCCCCCCCCCCCCCCCCCCCCCCCCCCCCCCCCCCCCCCCCCCCCCCCCCCCCCCCCCCCCCCCCCCCCCCCCCCCCCCCCCCCCCCCCCCCCCCCCCCCCCCCCCCCCCCCCCCACCCCCCCCCCCCCCACCCCCCCCCCCCCCCCCCCCCCCCCCCCCCCCCCCCCCCCCCCCCCCCCCCCCCCCCCCCCCCCCCCCCCCCCCCCCCCCCCCCCCCCCCCCCCCCCCCCCCCCCCCCCCCCCCCCCCCCCCCCCCCCCCCCCCCCCCCCCCCCCCCCCCCCCCCCCCCCCCCCCCCCCCCCCCCCCCCCCCCCCCCCCCCCCCCCCCCCCCCCCCCCCCCCCCCCCCCCCCCCCCCCCCCCCCCCCCCCCCCCCCCCCCCCCCCCCCCCCCCCCCCCCCCCCCCCCCCCCCCCCCCCCCCCCCCCCCCCCCCCCCCCCCCCCCCCCCCCCCCCCCCCCCCCCCCCCCCCCCCCCCCCCCCCCCCCCCCCCCCCCCCCCCCCCCCCCCCCCCCCCCCCCCCCCCCCCCCCCCCCCCCCCCCCCCCCCCCCCCCCCCCCCCCCCCCCCCCCCCCCCCCCCCCCCCCCCCCCCCCCCCCCCCCCCCCCCCCCCCCCCCCCCCCCCCCCCCCCCCCCCCCCCCCCCCCCCCCCCCCCCCCCCCCCCCCCCCCCCCCCCCCCCCCCCCCCCCCCCCCCCCCCCCCCCCCCCCCCCCCCCCCCCCCCCCCCCCCCCCCCCCCCCCCCCCCCCCCCCCCCCCCCCCCCCCCCCCCCCCCCCCCCCCCCCCCCCCCCCCCCCCCCCCCCCCCCCCCCCCCCCCCCCCCCCCCCCCCCCCCCCCCCCCCCCCCCCCCCCCCCCCCCCCCCCCCCCCCCCCCCCCCCCCCCCCCCCCCCCCCCCCCCCCCCCCCCCCCCCCCCCCCCCCCCCCCCCCCCCCCCCCCCCCCCCCCCCCCCCCCCCCCCCCCCCCCCCCCCCCCCCCCCCCCCCCCCCCCCCCCCCCCCCCCCCCCCCCCCCCCCCCCCCCCCCCCCCCCCCCCCCCCCCCCCCCCCCCCCCCCCCCCCCCCCCCCCCCCCCCCCCCCCCCCCCCCCCCCCCCCCCCCCCCCCACCCCCCCCCCCCCCCCCCCCCCCCCCCCCCCCCCCCCCCCCCCCCCCCCCCCCCCCCCCCCCCCCCCCCCCCCCCCCCCCCCCCCCCCCCCCCCCCCCCCCCCCCCCCCCCCCCCCCCCCCCCCCCCCCCCCCCCCCCCCCCCCCCCCCCCCCCCCCCCCCCCCCCCCCCCCCCCCCCCCCCCCCCCCCCCCCCCCCCCCCCCCCCCCCCCCCCCCCCCCCCCCCCCCCCCCCCCCCCCCCCCCCCCCCCCCCCCCCCCCCCCCCCCCCCCCCCCCCCCCCCCCCCCCCCCCCCCCCCCCCCCCCCCCCCCCCCCCCCCCCCCCCCCCCCCCCCCCCCCCCCCCCCCCCCCCCCCCCCCCCCCCCCCCCCCCCCCCCCCCCCCCCCCCCCCCCCCCCCCCCCCCCCCCCCCCCCCCCCCCCCCCCCCCCCCCCCCCCCCCCCCCCCCCCCCCCCCCCCCCCCCCCCCCCCCCCCCCCCCCCCCCCCCCCCCCCCCCCCCCCCCCCCCCCCCCCCCCCCCCCCCCCCCCCCCCCCCCCCCCCCCCCCCCCCCCCCCCCCCCCCCCCCCCCCCCCCCCCCCCCCCCCCCCCCCCCCCCCACCCCCCCCCCCCCCCCCCCCCCCCCCCCCCCCCCCCCCCCCCCCCCCCCCCCCCCCCCCCCCCCCCCCCCCCCCCCCCCCCCCCCCCCCCCCCCCCCCCCCCCCCCCCCCCCCCCCCCCCCCCCCCCCCCCCCCCCCCCCCCCCCCCCCCCCCCCCCCCCCCCCCCCCCCCCCCCCCCCCCCCCCCCCCCCCCCCCCCCCCCCCCCCCCCCCCCCCCCCCCCCCCCCCCCCCCCCCCCCCCCCCCCCCCCCCCCCCCCCCCCCCCCCCCCCCCCCCCCCCCCCCCCCCCCCCCCCCCCCCCCCCCCCCCCCCCCCCCCCCCCCCCCCCCCCCCCCCCCCCCCCCCCCCCCCCCCCCCCCCCCCCCCCCCCCCCCCCCCCCCCCCCCCCCCCCCCCCCCCCCCCCCCCCCCCCCCCCCCCCCCCCCCCCCCCCCCCCCCCCCCCCCCCCCCCCCCCCCCCCCCCCCCCCCCCCCCCCCCCCCCCCCCCCCCCCCCCCCCCCCCACCCCCCCCCCCCCCCCCCCCCCCCCCCCCCCCCCCCCCCCCCCCCCCCCCCCCCCCCCCCCCCCCCCCCCCCCCCCCCCCCCCCCCCCCCCCCCCCCCCCCCCCCCCCCCCCCCCCCCCCCCCCCCCCCCCCCCCCCCCCCCCCCCCCCCCCCCCCCCCCCCCCCCCCCCCCCCCCCCCCCCCCCCCCCCCCCCCCCCCCCCCCCCCCCCCCCCCCCCCCCCCCCCCCCCCCCCCCCCCCCCCCCCCCCCCCCCCCCCCCCCCCCCCCCCCCCCCCCCCCCCCCCCCCCCCCCCCCCCCCCCCCCCCCCCCCCCCCCCCCCCCCCCCCCCCCCCCCCCCCCCCCCCCCCCCCCCCCCCCCCCCCCCCCCCCCCCCCCCCCCCCCCCCCCCCCCCCCCCCCCCCCCCCCCCCCCCCCCCCCCCCCCCCCCCCCCCCCCCCCCCCCCCCCCCCCCCCCCCCCCCCCCCCCCCCCCCCCCCCCCCCCCCCCCCCCCCCCCCCCCCCCCCCCCCCCCCCCCCCCCCCCCCCCCCCCCCCCCCCCCCCCCCCCCCCCCCCCCCCCCCCCCCCCCCCCCCCCCCCCCCCCCCCCCCCCCCCCCCCCCCCCCCCCCCCCCCCCCCCCCCCCCCCCCCCCCCCCCCCCCCCCCCCCCCCCCCCCCCCCCCCCCCCCCCCCCCCCCCCCCCCCCCTCCCCCCCCCCCCCCCCCCCCCCCCCCCCCCCCCCCCCCCCCCCCCCCCCCCCCCCCCCCCCCCCCCCCCCCCCCCCCCCCCCCCCCCCCCCCCCCCCCCCCCCCCCCCCCCCCCCACCCCCCCCCCCCCCCCCCCCCCCCCCCCCCCCCCCCCCCCCCCCCCCCCCCCCCCCCCCCCCCCCCCCCCCCCCCCCCCCCCCCCCCCCCCCCCCCCCCCCCCCCCCCCCCCCCCCCCCCCCCCCCCCCCCCCCCCCCCCCCCCCCCCCCCCCCCCCCCCCCCCCCCCCCCCCCCCCCCCCCCCCCCCCCCCCCCCCCCCCCCCCCCCCCCCCCCCCCCCCCCCCCCCCCCCCCCCCCCCCCCCCCCCCCCCCCCCCCCCCCCCCCCCCCCCCCCCCCCCCCCCCCCCCCCCCCCCCCCCCCCCCCCCCCCCCCCCCCCCCCCCCCCCCCCCCCCCCCCCCCCCCCCCCCCCCCCCCCCCCCCCCCCCCCCCCCCCCCCCCCCCCCCCCCCCCCCCCCCCCCCCCCCCCCCCCCCCCCCCCCCCCCCCCCCCCCCCCCCCCCCCCCCCCCCCCCCCCCCCCCCCCCCCCCCCCCCCCCCCCCCCCCCCCCCCCCCCCCCCCCCCCCCCCCCCCCCCCCCCCCCCCCCCCCCCCCCCCCCCCCCCCCCCCCCCCCCCCCCCCCCCCCCCCCCCCCCCCCCCCCCCCCCCCCCCCCCCCCCCCCCCCCCCCCCCCCCCCCCCCCCCCCCCCCCCCCCCCCCCCCCCCCCCCCCCCCCCCCCCCCCCCCCCCCCCCCCCCCCCCCCCCCCCCCCCCCCCCCCCCCCCCCCCCCCCCCCCCCCCCCCCCCCCCCCCCCCCCCCCCCCCCCCCCCCCCCCCCCCCCCCCCCCCCCCCCCCCCCCCCCCCCCCCCCCCCCCCCCCCCCCCCACCCCCCCCCCCCCCCCCCCCCCCCCCCCCCCCCCCCCCCCCCCCCCCCCCCCCCCCCCCCCCCCCCCCCCCCCCCCCCCCCCCCCCCCCCCCCCCCCCCCCCCCCCCCCCCCCCCCCCCCCCCCCCCCCCCCCCCCCCCCCCCCCCCCCCCCCCCCCCCCCCCCCCCCCCCCCCCCCCCCCCCCCCCCCCCCCCCCCCCCCCCCCCCCCCCCCCCCCCCCCCCCCCCCCCCTCCCCCCCCCCCCCCCCCCCCCCCCCCCCCCCCCCCCCCCCCCCCCCCCCCCCCCCCCCCCCCCCCCCCCCCCCCCCCCCCCCCCCCCCCCCCCCCCCCCCCCCCCCCCCCCCCCCCCCCCCCCCCCCCCCCCCCCCCCCCCCCCCCCCCCCCCCCCCCCCCCCCCCCCCCCCCCCCCCCCCCCCCTCCCCCCCCCCCCCCCCCCCCCCCCCCCCCCCCCCCCCCCCCCCCCCCCCCCCCCCCCCCCCCCCCCCCCCCCCCCCCCCCCCCCCCCCCCCCCCCCCCCCCCCCCCCCCCCCCCCCCCCCCCCCCCCCCCCCCCCCCCCCCCCCCCCCCCCCCCCCCCCCCCCCCCCCCCCCCCCCCCCCCCCCCCCCCCCCCCCCCCCCCCCCCCCCCCCCCCCCCCCCCCCCCCCCCCCCCCCCCCCCCCCCCCCCCCCCCCCCCCCCCCCCCCCCCCCCCCCCCCCCCCCCCCCCCCCCCCCCCCCCCCCCCCCCCCCCCCCCCCCCCCCCCCCCCCCCCCCCCCCCCCCCCCCCCCCCCCCCCCCCCCCCCCCCCCCCCCCCCCCCCCCCCCCCCCCCCCCCCCCCCCCCCCCCCCCCCCCCCCCCACCCCCCCCCCCCCCCCCCCCCCCCCCCCCCCCCCCCCCCCCCCCCCCCCCCCCCCCCCCCCCCCCCCCCCCCCCCCCCCCCCCCCCCCCCCCCCCCCCCCCCCCCCCCCCCCCCCCCCCCCCCCCCCCCCCCCCCCCCCCCCCCCCCCCCCCCCCCCCCCCCCCCCCCCCCCCCCCCCCCCCCCCCCCCCCCCCCCCCCCCCCCCCCCCCCCCCCCCCCCCCCTCCCCCCCCCCCCCCCCCCCCCCCCCCCCCCCCCCCCCCCCCCCCCCCCCCCCCCCCCCCCCCCCCCCCCCCCCCCCCCCCCCCCCCCCCCCCCCCCCCCCCCCCCCCCCCCCCCCCCCCCCCCCCCCCCCCCCCCCCCCCCCCCCCCCCCCCCCCACCCCCCCCCCCCCCCCCCCCCCCCCCCCCCCCCCCCCCCCCCCCCCCCCCCCCCCCCCCCCCCCCCCCCCCCCCCCCCCCCCCCCCCCCCCCCCCCCCCCCCCCCCCCCCCCCCCCCCCCCCCCCCCCCCCCCCCCCCCCCCCCCCCCCCCCCCCCCCCCCCCCCCCCCCCCCCCCCCCCCCCCCCCCCCCCCCCCCCCCCCCCCCCCCCCCCCCCCCCCCCCCCCCCCCCCCCCCCCCCCCCCCCCCCCCCCCCCCCCCCCCCCCCCCCCCCCCCCCCCCCCCCCCCCCCCCCCCCCCCCCCCCC